TCTTACTGGACCTCTACTCTAGGGAGAACAGTTTAGAACTGATAGAGTTATCGAGTATAAATAAAGTTAGTTTAGTTTAGGTTTCCTTCTGTAGTAACACTGGATCAATAAGAGATGACTCTTACTGGACCTCTACTCTAGGGAGAACAGTTTAGAACTGATAGAGTTATCGAGTATAAATAAAGTTAGTTTAGTTTAGGTTTCCTTCTGTAGTAACACTGGATCAATAAGAGATGACTCTTACTGGACCTCTACTCTAGGGAGAACAGTTTAGAACTGATAGAGTTATCGAGTATAAATAAAGTTAGTTTAGTTTAGGTTTCCTTCTGTAGTAACACTGGATCAATAAGAGATGACTCTTACTGGACCTCTACTCTAGGGAGAACAGTTTAGAACTGATAGAGTTATCGAGTATAAATAAAGTTAGTTTAGTTTAGGTTTCCTTCTGTAGTAACACTGGATCAATAAGAGATGACTCTTACTGGACCTCTACTCTAGGGAGAACAGTTTAGAACTGATAGAGTTATCGAGTATAAATAAAGTTAGTTTAGTTTAGGTTTCCTTCTGTAGTAACACTGGATCAATAAGAGATGACTCTTACTGGACCTCTACTCTAGGGAGAACAGTTTAGAACTGATAGAGTTATCGAGTATAAATAAAGTTAGTTTAGTTTAGGTTTCCTTCTGTAGTAACACTGGATCAATAAGAGATGACTCTTACTGGACCTCTAGGGAGAACAGTTTAGAATTCAGTCGTTTGAAAGCCATGTTCTCCCATTGTAAAAGGGAGTTCTGGCGTTTGAAAAGGGCGTTTTGCTATTTGAAAAGGGCGTTTTGCTATTTGAAAAGGGCGTTTTGATATTTGAAAAGAGCGTTTTGCTATTTGAAAAAGGTGTTTTGCTATTTGAAAAGGGAGTTTTGCCACTTAGGGAGTTTTTGCGTTTCTCTAGAGAGAAAAGATTAGAACTCCACAGAACGAATAGACATACTAGAAGAATAGTGTCGGTTACCTTTGCGTGTATCAGTGGATTTCTTGGCCGCCATTAACTGTCTTCTGATTTGTCCATCTCCTTCATCTTTGTCTAACCACTGATCACATGGAAAGTACGTCACAGTCCCTTTCACCAACTCTATCACTGTCACCTGAAAAAAATATTAAAAACACTTTAGATTGAAAACACATCATGAGGAAATTAGTTCGGTATGTCAAAGTGCTTTTGGTATTTTTCATGTAGTTTAGACACGAACCATGACAGCTACAAAGAGATTGATTTCACGCGAGAACGTTGTCTTACCTTATACAGATACCATCCCGGACCAAATCCAGTGTTATCATGCTCCACTCTGGAAAATAAAACGAGATATATTATCGCTATAAATATGAGCGGTACTCTATATAAGGTCATTTAGTTAATTATCTTTCTTACATCATTTTCCTCAATGCTCCAAGATGAGTTGATTTAATCTTAAAGCGGTCAGTTTTTCCTCTCTCAAAGTTGTCATTGTCCCTGCAAAGATACAAGTAATTTAATGGAGAGCAAACTATCTGAAAACAAGATCGTCCATGTTCCAAGCGAAGATCCTTCCTCTGGAATTTGTAGCTCGTTGTTGTCTTTTTTCCAGGTAGTTTGATACTTAACAAATATAAAACATTTTCCGTGTTGATATTTCACAAGTCATTTGCAACATTCGCCTCCGTGTTGTATCGCGTATACAAGTTTGTATATCTGATACAACACGATCCCTCATGCTGTAAATCGTGTTCCACACAATTTCGAGTTTTCCCAATTTCCACGAGTGTTGATATAACTGTATATCAATACGGAAAAATGTTTTTTTTATAATATAGCACAAAGAAATATAAAGAAAGAAATTTTCTGTGTTCACATTGAGTTATATCAACACGGCTCTTAGCCAATCAGCGTTCAGAATTTGCAAATGCTATATTATAATCATGTATGTTCATCGCTGGAACCTCACAAGACCTTACGTCTATATAGTACGGTGTGACTGAATTCGCCCGAACTGATGTAGAACTAAATTTACCTGTTCGATAATAAGACTTTGGGTGTTGTTCCTTTAGAACCAAATAAGGTCATGTAGACCTTGGCATCAGTCCCTGCTCCTCGGATGTCTCCAGTCTCAACGGTCACCTCGTAAACTGCAAGGAACATTAATGATATTTAGGATGGTAAGGGATCATTAAGACTGGTGTTACATGTGGAAAATCGAAGTTCCTGGGCGGTTATTACGTTCAGTTGGAACAAGATTGTGGACAACTTGTTCGTACAATCTTGTTCAAGCCTGTCGATATCATGCAACCGGGAACAAATAGTTCATTTTTAAGCGTGTAGTGTTACGATCATTATGAGAGGTAAGCAATATTTTCAGCGAAAAAAATCGCAAAATAACGGCCTTCTTTACCAAGAACCTCAAGAGACAGCGAGATTTCAGCAAAATTAAATGACTTCCTATGCTAAGAACTGTTGATCCGGCTGGTCTATTTACCCTTATAAAAAGAAAATTGCAACGAGAGAATAGACGGAAACTATTCTCTGAATTCTTCTTTAGTCAGGCCAAAATTATGGGAACGTTAATGCGCCCTGAGAATTTTGATATCAAAATAAAATTTCGCGAAATTTGGAATAAAAAATTATGGTTTTATATTTTTGCCAACATCTTCCGTATCATCAGCACAAAGTAATATAAAGTACATTCACAAACAACTTACCTGTTTTAACTGGTTTAGAAGTACCACTATTAGCTTGTAACTGACGTTTAATCTGACAGTCACTCTCAAACAACGACAGCCATTGGAAACATGGAAATGTCCACACTTTCTTATTTCTTGTGTTCTTCACCAAGATCTCAAGTAAGAACCAGCCTTGCTTTCTATCTATCCCATCATGCTGCAATTAGAGAATGCTAATTGTTAATTAGAGTGATTAATAAAGTGATTTAGCTATGATTAGTAACAAACAAACTACAGCAAGTATTACCTCAACATTGAGAAGTTTTAAATCTCCAATATCAGGAGCACGTATGGTGAAGGTTTCTTCAGAACCAGGTTTGAATGAAAATGGAGGTTCATAAAGATAGGAGTTTGATTTTACTCCTTCAGGTTTGTGAAACAATCTGGTTTTACCAATAATACCCTTGCTGCCTTTTAATTCAATAAACACCTGTAAAAGAAGATGAATAGAGAACTGTCAGGTCATTTTTCTAGCAATCTCTCAACACACAATTTGAGAAGAGTGTAATTAGAGACAGAGGTTAATTAGGGAGGGATAGCTAATTAGAGAGTGATAGCTAATTAGAGAGAGGGATAGCTAATTATAGAGAGGGATTATAGGGAGGATTAATAGAGAGTGGGGATTATTAGAGATAAGGCTTTAGTAGACAGAGGGCTTATTAGAGGGTCGGGCATATCAGAGAGGGGGCATATTAGAGAGGGGGCATATAAGAGA